ATTAAATTCCTCTTGTGCTTGGCATGGTATTCCCCTTATTTCCTTCTCTAAACAGAATTGGCTGGACTCTTCCCCCTTTTCCACAGTAACTGTGTGATTCCTTGTTTAGTTTGTGGGAATTGCAAGAGCTCTGATGTTTTTCTGAATTAAAGATGCCAGATTCGTAGTGATTTCTTCCTCCTTCCTGTTGTTCCTTCCCTCATGGACTCTGCTGGGAGTTGGATTGTTCTTATTTTCCCCTAGGAGAAGACTTTCCCTTACAAGTTTTCATGGTAACTTACAGTTCATTGTGTACAGAGGGCTTCAGTTGACTTCAGTGCCATTTTACCAATGGAACTAAGGAAAGCTGGGCTACTGAGAGTACACACTCTGCTTCTGTGTCAGCTGTGTTCATTTCATTTGGGGAGCTTGATTCTCTAAATTCCTTCTGGATAGGTTTCCATTTTGAGACACCCTCTGTCCGGAATGACATGGCGTCTCTGCAGCCACAAAATTGTTATGAAAAGCTGAACACAGAGACCTTGCTATCAAAATACTTGTTTCTTCATCTTGTTTTGATCACTGTTGTGACATGGAATGATTAAGAAGCTTCACTCCAAAAGTAGAGAAAAGGTATTGGAGCTTGCATCTTTTTTTTTTTCTGCAAAATAGTGCTGTTTTGAGACCAAATTATTCAAAAACAAGTTGTAATGAAAATATCCTAGAATCCTCAGCTTTAGCTTGGTTCTACCTAATACTTGGTAGAACTCTGAAGTGGTAAATAACTTGGTTATGTTCTTCATTGAGTACTAATCTTGTTTGCTTTGGCATCTAAAACCAAAGATACAGCTTATTTTTACTCAGTGTACACTTTTTTTTTTTTTGAGTATTCCTTCCATGTAGTATTAAAGAGATTTATTACAGAACCCAGGAGGCCAGTCACAGACCATGGACTACTATGTTTGGTGGTCCCAGAGGCGAAGTCTTCACCTAGGCGGTTCTAGTCAGCACAAATAGTTTTGGTACTGGTCCCAATGTCCTTGTAGACAGTTCAGCAGATAGTGGTTTGGAAGGAGTGTGACACAGGTCTCATGTTGCTTAAGAAGAAAATAAAGATGCATCTGGTCAAAGAATAGATCTGAAAAATTACATTTGCTGCAGTGTGTAGCTGTAAGCAGCATAGTGAAGGCGAACAGAAACACTACTGTGCTACTGGAGAAGAGACCATGAGTCTAGGTGGGCATTTTCATCCTTCTGTGTGGTTTGAAGTATCTTAGGATGAAGTAGAAAAAGGAGAAGAACTCTAACTTCATTGTAGAAGTGTGATGAGAAATCAATCACATAAGATGGTGTAAGAGAAGAAAATTGAAAAAGGGAAGCCTGTTGGCTGTAGCAGGTAGCTGAATTCTTTCAGGAGGGTACTGGAATTTTTTTAAACATGCACTGACTTGATTTGAAGGTGAAACCATTACCTAGTGCTGCATTTTTCTAGACTGGCTGTCAGTTAATCATGTTTTCTTTCTGTCACTGCTTTTATTGCAATGTGTGGTAGTTAAAATCCAGGAGAAAGTGAAATGACAAGTTGCCTGTCTTTTCATTTACTTCTGTTAAAAACATTGTTGTTGATGATGCCAACAGTTGACATGCACAAGATGACATTTTCAAAGTAAGTCTTTAACAAATAAACCCACATTTTTTTTTGTAACTTCTGGTGTAAATACCTGTCTTTCTGCTTTTTCTCTTGTGACTCTATTGCAGCCAGTACTGGTTTTCTTAATGTGTGATTAGGTTTGCTGTAGAGGTTTTAACAGAACTGAATTTTGAGATACCAGTCTAAGATGAGATGAGCTATCAAGGTGATTGGTTTACACCTGATGGATCCTGACAATCCCTAAAACATTTCATGTTAACTTGCTCTCTATCAGGACAAATCCCTTGACCACTGTTGTTGCTGTGTTATCTTGGGAACTTAGTGCACATGGTGTATATTGAATGGAGATTTATTTTCAGGATGTTGGTTTTCTTAGAAAACTCAAAGCTACAACAATGGCCAAGTCTTCTGATCGAACTTTCAGATTTCACTGTGTCTTTTCAGACATATTTTACCAATATGTAATGCTGGGTGTTCACTGAACTGGTCGTATATGATGCCACAGATTTATTTCTCTCTTAGTGAGGATGTCATCCTCAAACAGTTTAGCTATATTTATAGTTTTATAGCAGATAAAAGAACTCCTCTGGATTAAAAAAATTAAAATCAAATCACAGTTGATCATGATGACAATGCAAATAGGGTAACAAAATTACCAGACCTTCCAGGAGGCTTAATCTCTTGTTCTCTACGGTTTAGTTGAAACCTGTGAATCATGAAAGGTGGCCCAGCATTGCTCTTCTTCATAATTATTTAACTTTAAGATTTTCTTAATTATTGTGAGATAATCAGAAGATGCCTGTCTCAGCAAACCTGATGGCACTGTTACCTCCAGGCTGCTCTCTCTGTGAAGTTCCAAATGTTTCTGCCATGGTGGATGCATCACCATTCCTGCTTGGGGCATCAGTCGTCTAGAGTTGGATTTTGCAATTTTGTCTGTGTCTGAAACTGCTGGTAATCTAATTACTGGGTTCAGACAGTGAACTTGCTCCTTAGAAAAGCTTTCTCAGGGATAGACCTGAATGCATTTGAATGTCTGAAAAATGCAGGGGTTGGGTGGAGTACCATGGGAATTGCTTTTAGCCTTGCTGGATGTATATATGGCCTGTGAAAGGCCTCAGGAGGATTTGACCATGCCTTAAAAATACAAAAAGAAGGCACCCATATTTAAATTCTTAGTCTGCTCTTCTGTGATTATTTATCCCTAAAAAGAAACATGAATTCTAAGTCAGTAAATATTCCACTTGATGTCAGTTGTTACCTAGTCTGTTCATTGCCCTGTCTGGGAGCCACTGCTTTAAGTCATAGGTGTTACATGCAGCAGTAGGTGCCATTTGTACTGGAGCAGCCATTTTACTGCACATCTCTATCTTTGTTGAGTTGGGACAGGGTGAGTGTTTTTTCAGATGTTGTTCTTGGAGCTGGTGAACATTGTTTATTCCTTTTGGAAGAAATATCTCAAATGCTTTTAAGTAGCTCATGCAGAGAAAGATCATGCTTTTTCTGTGGTTACAAGCTCAGGTACTGGTAGCAAAGGTATTTTCATTGGGCAGGCAGAAAGAGAAGCTGATGTTCCTGGGTAGGTCTGTACTACTTAAATTGCTATCTCAAGTAGGGCAGTTTCCCTGGGGAGTCCTTTTCTTGTTTGTGAGTGGCTAAAGGTACAGCAAATGAGTTTCTTCCCTGCTGCTTTCTTCAGACCAATCTACCTGAAGCAGAATTGCTCTGGCTCTAAAGTTGTCATTAAGCTTCCTAAGAATACTTTTATTAATTGGAATAGTTTGTACAGTTTGACAAGATTAGCAAAGCATGGAGAACACTTGCTACTGTTAGTTTTTTCTTTTAATGACAAAGTTCTTTGGATTTGGCACAGTCTGTCTGCTGCAAACTTCTGAAGTACAGTGAGGGCTTGGCAAGCAGTACCGGAGTACTGGCAGGAGGATGTTTGGGCCAAGGACTTGTTGCCAAGCTCTTACCTTTTTGCATAAGATTTTCTTTAACAGGAATGCAAAGGAGATGGCATTGTGGTTAAATAATTATTCCTTGATTGAGTGAACAGCCCCGAGGAAGGTACTCATGTAATGAGCGTCCCTACTGTGCTGTGTAAGAACAAGGATGCTCTGCTGAGAATCTGAGCAATCATCACGCTGGGGCTGGCTCATACCTGACTCTACAGACCTGTGATGAAAGGCACTATTGACTTGAATTTTATCTCAAACACATCAAAAATCCATGGCAGTCCAGCATATGGGACAATACTGTACTTCAGACTGTGCAGCAGGACTTTGGACCTTCATGCCCAGGCACCATCCATTTGTACAAGTGGAGTGGGAATTCTGTGTGGCCAAGTTCCCTTTTCCCATCCAAGCAGTGTATACTTTGTTTAAAGCCAAAGGTGTATCACATGGGCAACACTGTACATTTTATAGATTAGTATCTGGTGGTTGGGTTCATCTTCTTGGAGCACTAGGGTATTTTTCCTCTCCTTCAGTTATTTCAGCATAGTTCTCACTCAATTCCATACACAGCCCCTGCTGTCTGCAGCAATCTATTTGTGCTAGTGGCAAGCTTGTTTTCCATTCCTTACACGCTTCGTGAATCTGAGCAGAAGTAATAACACAAGCTTAGAGTTCCCTGCTTTGTCCAGTGTTTGGTACTGTAATGGCAGCAACTGCTGAACAAGTCAGTCTGGATGTGGCACTCTGGGACAGTGCAGCTGGATGTGCTCATCCTAGTCCATCTGTCCTACACTGTGGATTGCCATGGAGGAAAGGTTTAGCTTGGGTTTGGAAAGCTCTGTAGCTGTGCCATGAGGTGAGCTTGCACAAATGAACCCTCATTTTTATCAAGGCTGGCTTGAGCACCACACCGGTGGTTTGGCTCAGAGGTAGCTCATGAATCTTAGATTTAAGCATCTCCTCTGCATGCTGTCCCTGCACTGAGGCACACATGGAATATCAGAATAATTTAGCTGCCAAAACCATTTAAAAAAAAACCCTAAAACCTGCAGGCTCTTGCTCTTTCACTAAAATTCACGGATATGGCCTTAAGCATACCTTTGATGCCAGGTGGTCTCCCTGCCAAACCTAAAGCTGATTCTCAGTAAGGTCTTATATGGTTATGCTTTCAACAGAGTGCCAGAAAAACCTTGGCAAGACTGTGCTTTAAGCTGATGGTGAGAACAAGTTTAGGAAGAATGTTTTAGTCCTGGACAGGCATTGTAGCCACAGGTAGCCTAGACACCTTTTCTTCTAGATGTAAGTCAGAGGTTTTATTTATTTTGTCTCTTCCAAGGTAGTGTCATCTACATTAAAACATAGATGTCCTAAAGAATTATTTGTATTTGTGCTTGATTTTTCCCATCTCCCAGGTTGTGGATTACTTGCCTTTGGAAGCACATGCCCCAGGCATTCCTGCTCTGACTTGAGCCCGGTGGTGCGGCTGCAGAGGAAGAAGCCTGAAGAGGGTGGGAGGAGCATTTCACGTTCCCCCCTTTCCTGGTGACCTTCGCTTCTGTGCGTGCACTCAGATCTCTTCCTGCACATTTTGACCCGTGCTAGAATCCTGTCAGAGAGGGCAGTTGCAGTCAGGGATGAAGTCTTTGCTGGAAAAGATTTCTCGCCTTAGTCTGCATATCTGAAATGCTCTTGGTGTTCATTTGTAGAAATTGTCTCCTTTTATTCTGTGGTTCAAAGCACCAGGGTTAATCTTTTCATGCCACTTGGTGTTCCTGGGGAGAACCTAACTGCACACACTATTCCCGGGGGCAAACCTTCCAGCTAACATTTCTTTGCAATTCAAATAAAATTTAAAAAATGAGCAAAATGACCCTAGGTAACAAACATATCAACTACATCTATGTCATGACTTTGTAAATGTAAATGTGCATAATCTCACCTGCTATCTTTGTCAGATGTGCTTAATCTCACCTGCTGTCTTTGTCACTGCTACCTAAGTCAGCCTGGAACTTCAGGAAAAGAAAATTGATTTTACTTTAAAAGACCTAAGTTACTGTCTCCTCATTGTATTGCAAGATGAAACTTCTAGAATTTTGATTGATACACTATGTTTTAAGTTGTATCTGGAAATGGTCAAAGTTTTTCAGTAACCTGGAAAATAGTTTAAAGGGAAGTAATTTTCCTATGGTATTTTTGTCGGGGCGTTTGTTTGGGTGGATATTTATTTGTTTCATTTTTCAGAAATACAAACTTTTTTAAACAGGCTGCAAGAAGAGTTTGTAAGGAGAATGTTTTTTTCAGTTTCACCTGAGTTATTTGGAGAAGACAGGCAAGGTTTCAGGAGCCCAAACTTCACTTAAATCTTGAAAAAAAACACTAGTGAATATAAAGCTAGGTCAAGTGTCAGTTAATAGCAATAAACAACTTTATAATTCATGGAAAAGTTTGTTTATGGGAAAAATCTATCAAAAAACTAGTAACTTCATGATGACGCCAGGATTTTCTTGTCTTGGTATTAACTCCAAGAATTTGGGTGGGGGCAGTGTTCTTTCTTTGAGGCTATCTTTTAGGTTTCTTTCTGTCTTTTATCACATATTTCCAGTGGTGTGACTTCAGCCAAACACTTTCCATAAGGAATATGATTCACTGCATAATTTATTACATGCTTTGGGATGTGCTTTGGACTTCTTTTCCTATTGGGGAAGAGGGACAGGCTGGATGTGGAGATGTTTTGGAAGCCTTGGCTGTTGTTTCTGTGTCACGGTTTGATTCTGCTTCATGTCAGTGTATGTGAGGAAGGGCTCATGCATTCTGGAGTTCATGCCCTCCCTCTCCTTATTGCTTCATATTAACCGCTCTCATAAAAGATATCACCTCTACCTGCAAGACTTGCCTTTTCGTATCCTTAGGCACTTGCAGATGCAGCAGGAACATCAGAGATCTGTTGGATATGCAGTTTTTGTGGACCACATCTGTTTGTTTTCTTTCATAAAGTACCTGGGATTTACTGTGATGCTGGAAATGACTGTGAGGTGATGTACCTTTCCCTGAGACAGAGTGAGATGCTTTTCTAAGCATGTTAAAGGTTCATGCAATAGCATTGTTCCATGAATATGTAATACAGGTTTGAACGTACTGACATGATACTTTAAAATACACAAAAGAAAACCAAATAAAAATGTCTGTAAAAGTTGTGAAACGCAGCCCCATGAATGAGGGAGAGCCTGGGCTAGCATTTTATCTCTCATAGCCCCAGGAGAAATGGTTTAGCTGCATAAAAATAGCTACTTTCTTTCCTCTTTCCCTTCTGCTCCAGTTTAGTGTTTATAGGCAAAGTCTCTGCAGGGAAGAGACTGTGTGCATCTTCACTGTAGTCAATGTTTAGTATACCTATTTAGTGACAGGCACAAATTTGAGTCAGATGGTGAGAATTTGGATTGCTAAGAACAAACTTGCAGATGGCCATTTTTAAACAGTCACCTGGTTTGTGGGGTTTTTTTACCCACCATTGTATTTCTAGAGGGCTTTCCTCTACTCTCACCTAAGAACTTTTTTGCCCTCATCTTAGAATATTTGCACAAAAAAGTGATTGTGCCTCTCTGGGAGAATGTTCCCTGTCCAACCTGGCCTTGGACACTTCCAGGAATGGGGCAGCCACAGCTTCTCTGGGCAACCTGTGCTAGGGCCTCATCACCTTCACAGGGAAAAAAATTCCGTTTCTTCTTAACATCTAATCAACCTATTCTCTTTCAGTTTGAAGCCATTCTCTCTTGTCCTGTCACTACATGCTCTTGTAAAAAGCCCTTCTCTGACTTTCTTGTAGGCCCCCTTCAATTATTGAAATTATTGGGCTGAATTAGTTGAAAACACATGTTTCCCACACCTTTTAATGAGTGGTCGTCTTCTGGATGTTGTGAGGAAGGTGAGGCCTAACGGGAACCTGAATACAGACACATATTCTTAAACTTCCAGTTAGTAAAGTTAGAGAAAACAAAAAAAAATAGAAGAGGAAGAAAAAAACCAAAACCCAAGCTGTGCAGTATTTGACGGGAAGCCAGTGTAATTGCCTTGAAATTGGAGTGGCATGCCTGAGTCAGTGAAGTATGAGCTAAGACCCTGGCAGAAGCCTTTTGCACAAAGGAAGGTTGAGAGAGCCTCTCAGGAAGCCTGTGTGCTGCTAAATGTGGCATGTTTGAACATGAGACTGACATCATTGTGAGTTCATAGTAGTGAAAGAACAAAGTATCAGCCACAAATTAGACTGACCTAATTTTTAAGTCACTTATAAAAACTTACTAGCACAGTATCTTGCTTGTGCAAGCTGTTTATTTCTATCCTAACCTCTGACTACTTCATTTAAACTACAAGTTAACCCTCTAAACTGTTAA